TCTGTGTGTAGTCCGCAAAATTTTAAGTCCGATAACTTGAGCACACCTGTCTCAAGCCTGTTAATTCGAGGAAAATTTCAGATATATTTAATGGCCAAAGTCATTTCAGTAACTGTTTTTAAATATTAGTTTAGTTTTGCAGACCTTCTATTTTAATTGCAATACAAATGTATTACTTTATATGCCTTTAATACGATTGTTTTTGTTTTCGTTTTTTTTATATGACAGAATATGTCACATATTGATTTGAATAGTATCTCATAATTAGTTAAATTATGAACACGCGTTGTTTATTTATTTTACAGAAAAACATGTTTGCTTTACAGAGAGCAAATAATGTCAACTACTATTTTTGGAGCGGCCGTGGTTAAGGACGTTGACCTCAAACCCCTTGCCTCTTATCGCTGTAGGTTCGAGCCGCGCCAGGGTTTTCGGATTCTTTCATGTGAGAAAGCTATCCAGCTAGCTTACAGAACGTCTGTGATCCTACCTTCGTGAAATAACGCATAAAGAGACACGAGATGTCTACCTCCACCAGTAAGGCTAAAAGGTCGCCATATGTCCTATACCGTGTTGGTGCGACCAAAAAAGCCTACCATTTTGAACTCCGTGTACTGCAAATGTGAGAAGTGCAAGAAAATGCAAAGCGGTTGTAAGCCCAAGTTTCAATCCTGCTGTGTTTTAAAGTCGCCATATTTGATGTCATCGATATCAGATTTACCTTGTTTTTGGCACATGACCAGAAAACTTTTCCCAAATGTATGCCGTACAATTTTTGTACAATCAAGCGTTCTAAACAAAACTTCCCCGAGAACTTAAGGCAGCCGAGTGACAGGTTTCTTTCGTTTACAAAAGTTTGATATAACAAGACCTTCAGTTTAAAATCCCCATAAGCCAACTCGGTGTGGACTTTTCTGAACCGTTGCTAGGTGTCTGCACCGTTGTCGAGACGAAACATAAAGTAGACAAATTTCGATAAAACAAATTGTCAGAATAAATGTTTTAATTACACAGATGATTTTATAGCTTTACTGTAATAAACAAGAGTATTCACTTCAATATAAGTGTCTCTTGCACGGAGATTGCCTAAACAATTCACCACTTCTCTCGGTTCAAATTTAATGCACATTTATTTACAAAAGTTGTTTTTTGTATAAAATTCATATATATCATATGTAACGTAACATACATTGTGAACTTATTGATCTGATAGTGAATTTATGTCTACATAGCGGCGATGTCTATACGCCGTTATTTCCGGCATAGTTACTTGAATGCTGCTCATCGTTATTATGCGATTGAGGCCCTTGTACCAATAATTTCAAAATAACAAGAGCGCACGACGGCCAAATTGATAATGTTTTTGTTTGTTTACTGGGGCCTGTATGTATTGCGCATACGTAAAATATGACTAACAAGATCAACAAGGAAAGGCGGCGTTCAAAAAACGCAACCCCCATATGACCCAGCAACAAGAACCAGTGACAAGGAGCCCAAGCGGACCCCAAAAAAAACAGGACAGGGCACAAGGCAGAGCACGGACAGGCTAATTACTAAATTGATAAATAATTAGTAACTGATAAGGAATTCAAAGAAAACAATTAAATGATTAAATAATAGGAAATAATTCGTACCTGATAAGGAATTCAAAGAAAACAAATGATTGAAAAAAGGTAAATTTAAAACCGGGCTATAACAAGAGCGCGTGACTTTGTTTACACATGGTTTTGGTCCCGTTATAACATGGGCAAAAGATTGGAAAATAACCGATTTATGCTATAATACAATTTAAAACAGATTTGTCTAAATACATAGAAATAAAATGACGCGTACCTTCGTGTTGTTTACCTTCCTCCATATTGGATGGAAGCACCTAATCACAGAAAATCTGCAACGTATCACTTACCCGACAATGTAAAACTTAACATTTGCTTTTCTTAATAGATTTAATTCCCCAGACGGAACCTCGGTTACTTTTATGGTACATGTAAATTACCGATTTTTGTTTTTTTCTTATTGTTCATCCCCAATCAGTGGTAATGAGTGTGTTCCTGATCGGTTGGATGACCACAGACAAAAACCTTTCTGTAAATAGTTGTGACGCGCCAGTATTTCGCTAATCGCCGTTTGATAATGGCATGCCAAAAAGATGGGAATTTTAATCTATTTCCATGAAAATTATTATTGTTATTTTTTTCGTGGACTTGACATAGAAAATTTTGCCAATATATATCCTCAACAGGCACCACATTACATCAGGAAAAAGGATTAAAAGGTTTATTAACAAGTACGTTCAAGCCAAAGACAAAATTTTTTCTAAACTGCCAGCCATATTCCAAGTACCCAATTATTTTTCCCCAATCTGAATATATTCGTTTTTTGCAGCCGTCACATACCCTTGTGTATTTGTCTACGGTCACGCTTATACATGAACCAAGAGTACTTAGATAACTGTGCATTGAAATAACGCACATATTTTCTTAATAAGTATGCTTTATCGCCCTATCTCACTGTGCCTTTTACCAATAAAGCATGCTACTGGCGTATAACAGCTGAGAAACATCAAAGACAAATCTCTGCACCATGCGATAACAATCTATAATGACCTTGAAATACCCTAAATTTTGTTACAATATATAGTATCATATGTATAAAGAAAAAATAATGCCGGATAGCGAGAGGGCCGAAACTGCATAATGGCCTAGATCTTGCCATTATGGCTAAAATGTTGCTAATATATTTGTAGTAACATAAAACAAACTTTTTTTTACAACTATGAAACTGAAATGAAGTATCAATAATACTTTGTATCAGTCGTATAAATCGTGATTAAATTAATTTTCTCACCAGCTGTCCAGACTTACAAAATCTTTGAAAGCTTCGCTTCTTTTTTCTTATACATCAGTGAAATATTTCTGCAGACAATGTATATGTTTTCCTTCATTGAGAGACCGTAACATGACAATTTGTTTTGACAACGGATCTAGTTTCTCATTTACTTCTGCCTAAATATCTCGTAAGCCATTTTTGTACATCTACAAATATGATGATTTATGATACCGAGTAAAAGAATTTAACAAACAAATCAGATCGAAGTAGTTTTTCCTAAATCTAGATTTTTCTCTGGCTATACGTTATCGATCAATTGTTGGACATGGTTGAAGTTATGAATGGAACTCCTCTTTATTTAATCTGAACACGACCTAAGTCTAACACAATATCTAACATGTTCTTCAACTGTAGACTATTATCATTTCTTTGAAGCATCACCCTGCTGTTTAAACCTGATTGTAATATGATAAAACAGAGTCTGTCTAACCTGCATGTCCTGCAGTTTGACGCTGATCTAGACTGTTTGTATATTTGATAATGAAACCATTAAAAATTTGATGGACTGCTACAAATTAAAAATTTGGTAAATGGTTATAAGGGCCTCAGAGGCCGTTTTGTATTTAGAGACTTAAAATGTGAAAATATGCGTACATTTTATCGCTGTTAGTTATATAATAATTTGTGGATAGGTTTTCGGCAATATATATCTGTAATATAGTTAAAACTAATACTAAACTACGGTTAAACAGAACAAACAAATTTAAGTAAAAACAAACTTAATTCGTATACATTTTAAATCAATGTCACATATCGATTTCCTCTAACTACTATGCGTTTCACCAATTTATAGATAGATGGATTTTTAATCATAGTTCAGGATATAGATTTAAATCCAATTCCCGAGTCATACCATTTCAAAATACCTGCGGTTAGGTTTTATATTTTTCCTTTTAAAGTATAAACCACGAGTAATTAAAAATTCCCCTTGATTCAATTCAGTGCATTTTCATTTAAATGTGGTGTTTTATCATTTATCTCGTTATCATTCAAAATTTGCATTAATCAAATAGTAATTATGACTTACACAAATAGTTATAGGGGTTTATATGAAATTGTAAGCATGGATAAATAATAAGATTATGTTGTTATTTTATAGTATCCCATTTTTAAAGAATATTTGAACTTAGATCAGATCACCCTTTTTATTTTAGTTCATAAAACATGTTCAAGTTGTATATTTAATTTTCTAAAAACATTTCAACTTATAGATCAGAACAAACAGGCATGTGATCAATTTCATTAGAATCATCACGTACTCTTTGCAAAAATTTAACTTCAACATAACATAACAAATAAGAAGCTGTGTTTATTGAAAGTTTAAGACCGATCAAAACCCTAACAAAAATATAAAAAAAAATTCTGTAGCACTAGTAATAATAAGTAGGAATATTTCAGTGTAATTTTGTTTAACCGGACTATGAAAAAATATAAAAATATCTTCACTAAAAATAGATTGCAATAATTGATTGGCATTGAGAGGTTCAAATGCGAAAATTAAAAGGAAAATATGTTGTGACCATTTAAACAAGACAAAATCAATTATTTACAGTTCTTGATGATTTTAAATTTGAAATCATTTACCCGACACACTTCATCATGTGAATGTCCTACACATGCCAATCAACAAAATATTTTGTGGCTAAAATGCTGGTTTTTGTAAATGTCAAAAAGTGTAAATTTTGAAAAGGGAGAGAAATCTTGAAATTTACCGAAAAATTGATTTTAATATGTTTCCCATATTTTTAGACTTTTGGCCTCGTATTCTACATTCATTTAACAGCGGAAAAATGTTTGATATGTAAAAAGTACTTTATCTGCCAATATTTGATTAAACTGATGGAAAAATAAATTAATTTAAGCATTTTAGGGTTTTGATATTGCGATGGTTTAAAAACAGTATTGGCCATAAACCCCACCCATTAAGTTTAACGGTAGTTTTCTTATCATTATCCTTTCCTCTTAGGAATTCTTTTAGTTCTAGCATTTTCTTTTTAGCAATGTATGAAAAGTAAAGTGTAAAAATAATAATTTTGAGCCATTAAACTAGTTTGAAATAAAAAATTTACATTAATTTCTATTCTTGAAAATATCCATATTTTTACCCCACCAGCAATGTATGAAAAGTAAAGTGTAAAAATAATAATTTTGAGCCATTAAACTAGTTTGAAATAAAAATATTTACATTAATTTGTATTTTTGAAAATATCCATATTTTTACCCCACCCACTTATAAATACACATTATCAGACAAAAATAATTACATGGCATAATTCTAAAGTAAAAATGTTTTATTTCGGATATATATTTCATAAGAAAACAATTTATTTGACAACAGCAAGAAAAAATGAAAAAACTGTACATGACATCTGTAATAAATACCATTTTTTTCTTCTTTTTTCGACACAATTTTCTAAATTTTCAAAGAGTTTAAATATTAAAAATTCGTACTAAAATTCATTTATGTCATATATCTAAAACGAAAATGTATTAAAAGAATATATGCAGCAGTTCTTACTGCCAAATATGAATTACATGAGAGAAAATGATAGTATCCATATTTTTGGCGGCCACCTTGGACGCCATCTTGGATTTCTCGGACCGCACCACGATTTTGGGCTTTTACCCTTGATACTCTTACAATTCGATATTCTTCTAACATATTCAGCGTAAGTTATTAGGGGACCTTTCAAGCACACAGAAACCCCCTAGATGCTAGACTATAAATAGTTTGATGACAAATTCAAATAATATCTGACTGCAATTATACATGCAAGTTATACCGATACCTCATAAGGACAGCATTTACTCTTAAATAAAACTTCACATATGTTTTAATTATATAATGAACTTTTTATTTGTAAAAAAATAGAATTAAAAATCTAATTTGCATAAAATGGTTCTGATGAAATATTTATGTAAATGAAATAATTTGACAGACAGAAATTACTTTAAGTACGAAATGATACTACTTCTTTGTTTGTTCCTTTATATCTTATGTTATGTGCTTGTTTGGTGAGTGGATGGAAATATGAATATGACGGGCAAAGAGGATGATCTATTTTTAACACAAATAACATTGCTTCTGTTAAAGATTCAAGATAGCAAACACACGAAAGCAATTTTGTAAAATGCATTGGTACATACTTGTTTATATGCAATGCACAAGCTGGTGACTAACAAAGTTGAAAGTTTATAAACGTTGTAACAAAGCACTAAATTTATCACTTTCCTAGCTACTTGTTCATCTGACTCTTTAGTTTTGTTTTAATCTAAACCTTCCCTTTGTTTTGTTGTTGAACGGTTGTCTGTAATGAAGCACTTGGCTTCCTAACAACATAGACGTTCATCCCCTGTGGCGGTCTGTGTGTGTGTACTGAAACACTTGGGCTTGTTACATTGTTTCTATTTCCTTGTCCATGAATCATAGTAGGCGTATTGAGAACTCTATTACCAGACTGAGCTTTGGCTGTAACAATACATAAAAGAAACATATCAACAGGAAATGAAAACGTGCTAGCGCCTCGACCAATATAGGTTTTACATATGTGCAATCGTTCAATAGAAGCAGTATTGTATTCAACAATGTAAAAATACTTTATAATACAATATATATTCGATATGGATTATTTGGACTTTAAAAATAAAAACAAGGCTAAATGAATTTGAGATAGGTTATTTTGGACTTACGAAATGAAAACGGGGCTAAATTTATAATATTTATCCATATTAGGATTTTTATTGGAACATCACGTGGTGCTTCAAGCTCTTTTGTTAATATTATAAAGTGTGAAATAAATATTTATCTATATATAGTGACGTTACCTTTTACTAACCTATTTAACTTACCTTTAAATGTGGATTTCCGGCGAATTCGGATCAGAGTACCAACAGTACCAACAAAAATCACTCCAATAGCAATCATTGCATAATGCCACGGTTTAAATGCACTCTTGGTCTCACTAAAATATTGATATGAGCCGCGTCATGACAAAACCAACATAACAAGTTTGCGACCAGCATGGATCCAGACCAGCCCGCGCATCCGCGCAGTCTGCTCAGGACCCATGCTGTTCCCTTAGAAACCCTATAACAAGTAGAGAAACTGATAGCGAACAACATGGATCCTGATCAGACTGCGCGGATGCGCAGGCTGGTCTGGATCCATGCTGGCCGCAAACCCATTATGTTGGTTTTGTCATGACGCGGCTCATATCTTAAGTAATATTGACATCAACATATTTATTAACCAAAGTTATTCTAATGGTTTATTTGATTGTAAGAATATATGAATTACAGTACTTTATGGTTCTTCCGAAAATAAATTTAGCAAATAATTTAAAAGTACATTATGCCTCAGAAACAAATAATGTTTTCCTTTTTTAGAAAGGGTAAACAAGAGTTTTAGTTACGGTTTTGAGCATGTTAGGTGCTAATTACAGTAAGAAAGTAGCACTGATTTTTGAACATAATTGTCCTAAAAGAAGCAAATTGTAAACAAAGTAGTAATTCCATATACAAAATACTGAATCACTATAACTGTACTTATTGCAAGAATGCAAATGAAGCAAAAGATGGTTCAGATAAATGGCTATTGAACATCCTTTTGGAAACCATAACAGAACATAAAAAATAAACAGCTTTTGAGAGATATAAAACCTGGGGCCTTTAATTTATATATGTATATATATTTCTTAAATATGCAATAATAAATATCTGAAAAGGTTGATAAGCCTATGGTGTCAAAATAACATTCCGTTTTCGGACAATTGCAACAGTTTTCATACAGAAAAAATACCCAGACATTCAAAAGCAGATGACTCATAAGGAAGATCCGGTCATCCCCATATTCCTGTTTTTTTATATTTCTGTTAAAATATATTCTCTAAAATTACATCGTTTAAGTAAGTTCTATGGAACAGTTTAAGCTTATATGTCTAAAGAGAACTGTGGCATATACCTTTAATAATGAACTTTAGTCATATGACTGTTCAGAATTACGAGAGGTGGCATTTAGTGTCAGTCCTAAAATTATTTAATAATATATAATTTTTATTACAATATATTATATTTAATATAATCATTCGGTTCAATAATCAAAATAATTGATAATGACAATACTTAAATGAAAGAATGTTAATTATACGTTGCTTGAAGATTAGTATATAAATATATTTATAAGCATTTGTCCATTTACCTTGCAGTTGATTTTCCTGTGTCCGTGTTATCATTCAACCTTTTTGTTGTCCATTCAGAAGAATTACGTGTTCGAAATTCTGTAGAAGATCTGATACTAGGATATGTTCGTGTTGGGAAATTTGACATAGGCGTCGGGACTGTTGTTTTTGAAGTATTTGTCAAAGGTTTTGAAGTCAGGCGAGGTGTCGCAGTGGAAGGTTTCTGAGTTGAACTGCATCGATTTAAATATAAAATCATAATGAATTTAGAACTTTTTCTCAGTTTGTAATAGAAATATTCGAAACCCTATCTGATCAGTATTAAGAGAGTAAGTGAATAATATTTGACAAGAACTTTACGAGGCATGTTAAAAAACTGTGGACTTTTAATGTCTTCTTTTTACTTGATTGATAAATACAAACTTGGCTATATTTCAGAAGATGTGTTTTACTTTTATTATAAATGTTATTTCTTTCACGAGCTGTGTGCACTTTTAGAACCATGGCAACGCAACATCGGTGCTAGAAATTCGCGCGTTCGTTTAACTCTGCCAACAAATCCGGGATATTCCTTCACCTGCATATTTTTAGATGGAATCAACGAAGGTAAGTTGATCGGCCAGCAGGTCACTCGTTTCAGCTGGCGCAAATGATTCAAAAACGGCGAATACAGTTTCACAGACAGGAAGGGGCGAGGGAGAAAACAGAAAATCGCCAGGACGTTAGTAACGTCATTTACGGACCTTTCTGCGGAGAATGGAGCAAGAAGGTGAAGATTTTTTTTCACGCTTCATTATTACAACCAAAGACTGATTTTGTTTTTACACGATCCGGAAACATTGAACACTGGAAAGAGTACTTTCAAAATTAATGACGCATGGCGCATTTTCCTTTCAAATTTAATGACGCATGGCGCATTTTCCTTTCAAAATTAATGGCGCATGGGGCATTTTCTATCTATTTTGCGATGTCACGAACGTCATTGTTGTACTGTGTGCGTGCGCCTCGAATGCCACCAGCAAAAAGAAACGTAATGAAGCAAACACAACTTTCTAAAAGTGTCTTCTTGGAGAAATCAATGGTCGCCTAAATTTTGATTGTGAATTTTAGTAAATGTTTTTTTCTTAAATAAATTTTTTAGAGTCAACTTATAAATCAGAATTGTGCTGTAATCAAGAGCATTAAACAAAAAAATCTTTGTCGTTTTTACTGTTATGTAACATGCAAAAACATGCAATGTAAAATGTTAAATGAAAAGGTCAATACTGTTTATGAAACAACCTACTATTGATCTGGAACGCATCTAAACCCACTACAGAATGTTCCTGCGGAACAACAGCCAATGAATGAACAACATGTGTGATCACTTTCACAATAATTTACCACACAACACACTTTACCCTCGGGCATGCAGCCATCACCACAACATGCCTGTCCTTTTTTACAGTAGTTTGTGGTAAATATGCTTGTGGTCGAAGCTGTAAAAATGAAATGTTAAGTTGACAGAATGCATTACGACACAAAGTGTGCTAGGTTTCAAATTGCTGTATAGTTACATCTGTGCGAGAATAGTAACTGGTTTATCATCAATTTGTTATACTGATGCAATCATAGTGTATTCATTGTAATATTAAATAGACTTTAATATAAATAGAATACAAAACAGACAATAGTCTTTTTTTATGGATGAACATGTTTAATGAAGCTTGTATGCGAGTTTCACTTTTAATTGAATGTACTATCTAGGGTAAAAAGTACATTTACTTGTGTCATATGAACATAAACATGATTGCTAAAAGGACAATTCTGAGGATATAATATATGAATTTAATGAACGAACTGAAATAAGAATAACAGTATATCACTGTTTTTTTTGCGGGGGAGGATATCATGTCAGTTTTGAAGTATTTGTGGGTAGTTGTCTACCTCTTCTATGTACCAGTACTAGCATTTTTACTGCAAGTAACTGTCAATATCTCCGAATAACCTATTTAAAATATCCGCGAATGACAAACTTCATTCTAAATACCGATAAAAATTACCTAAAATATAAGCTAATGATATTCATAGCATATTTAGTCGTCTGTCCGTCCAATACATAGATAGATATAAACTGGTAAGCAATTATTTATAATTCAATTCAATTTTAATAAAATTAACTTACTACATGCAACCAGGTCAGAACGTTCTAAACACCTGCCTTCGAAACCGCATATCTGTGTCGCTTTTAAAGAAAAATATTTGAATTATTTACACATGTTTATTGTTATAAAAAACAAGTTAAATTGCTACTACGATGTCATTAAATCAACAAACAGTAAACTTTTCGTAGTTATACAAAATATAAAGTACAAAACAAGCCATTCATAGCAGGTCACTCCCCTAATATTGTTAAACGCGGATGTGCAAATCATGCACGCATAACATAACATTTAATTTACATGTATTATCAGATGGGTTACCGTCGACATACATATGAGTCGTGTCACGACAAAACCAACATAGTGTGTTTGCGACTAGCATGGATCCAGACCAGCCTGCGCTTCCGCGCAGTCTGATCAGGATTACAAGTAGAGAAACTGATAGCGAACAGCATGGATCCTAATAAGACTGCGCGGATGCGCAGGCTGGTCTGGATCCATGCTGGTCACAAACCCATGTTGGTTTGGTCGTGACACGGCTCATATAGTTTAACGTAAAGTGTGAGATACTTAATAGCTATATCAATAAAATAACTTACATGTGCACCTATTACCACACTCGTCAGCACCAACTTTAGTCAGTAATACTGTATAATAGATACAAACAAGAAATTAATTATTTAAAAAAAAGATATTTTATAGCTAGGAATATAAAGTAAAGTGATATTATTAGTTATAAAGATTTCGGACTCGTTATATTGCCCATGTAAACAGTTTTTTATTTTCATAAATACAACCCGAGCCACCGGACTTTTCTATAGTTGCAAACTTCCTTAATTAGAAAAACAATTACTTCTTACATTGACCACAAACGTGAATATAGTTTAGATAAACTTCAGGATTATCAAATTAAAAGCTACAGTACAAACGGCAATATAAAATATGCGTGTTTTCAAATAATAACGGTAAAATAAGAAAAGCTGATAAAATATTCATACTATACGAGTCGACAATTTGAACGGTTTTGCCAATTCTTATAAGATATAAAGTGTTTACAGATTAAGGCCTCAACAGACGGTAGGATTTTAAAGTACAACACCAATTTAAACTTAGATGTACAAGCAAATCGTAATATGTGAAAGCTCCTTTTTCTTGAATTCATACAACTAGATTTACAGGATAGGACATTTAAGCATTTAAACGCAGGGAATTAAATCAACCGAATCTTCAGACATAATTATAAAAGTGTTATCTTGTTAGTAATATTACTTTATTTCTTTTCATTCTCCATGTTTTGTTAATAATAGTGAATAAATTATTTAAGGGTCCATTCAGGGAGAGTTGTTTTGGAGGGAAACCTGGTGATTCATACAATATAGAATTACGGTCTGGATGCAAATGTTGTATTGCTTTGAAAATTGTACTCATATCTTAAATTTATGTCCTACCATCTATTGAGGCCTTAAATGATTTTTTATTGTATTCAAAATTGTTGATTTTCAGAAAGGAATGTACTTGCAAAATATATATTTATATAAACTTGTAAAAAAAGAAGAAAAAAGAAACAACAATAACATAAACAAGACCCCCCTCCCCCCCAAAGAAAAAGACCCCCCCCAAAAAAAAAAACAAACAAACAAAAAAACACAACAATTTTGGACTAATAGATTTGCTTCCTTGATAATTGCATTAAACGGTATATATGACATAATTTTTTGTATGACTAAGACTTGTGAAAAAAAGAACAACAAACAAACAATCAACAACAAAAAAAACCCCAGCGAATTAGGAAGAAAAATTACAAATAAAAATGATGAACGCCTCACTGAACTGATGTTTGTAGTCACGTTTAATTGTAAATAGATACATTTACACACCTAAATTATATAACCTAATAATAGAGTAGTGTAAAAGTTTTAACATAATAATTAAATTTAAAGGAAGACGTAGTTAAAGTATGATTTAATGTAAAATTCGTTTTCATATAAATTTCCATTGTGCGTTTAGTGCACAATATGTTGTTACTAAATGAAAAAACTATGTACCGTATGAATTAGTCCTTAATAATATGCATAATGTAAACTATTTATTATCAGTTAGTATTTATATGTAATATTAGAACTATTTATAATAAACTTATACTATGACCATGTTGTATGCTGTATCATATGTTTTGGCCAAGGGCAGTGATTATATATGTAGATGCCAAATAATGTTGAGTTGAGATGTTAAATCACCGTTGAAAGTGTTTCATGAACTCATTTATAAAAAAATTACAATAAATTATGATTACTTGGTATATTTTTTAATCATGCATCATTTTTAACCTTAAAAACCAAACAAAAAAATTTTTTCATAGAGGGTTTTACCAAATTTTCCCCTGTTTTTGCCTTTACACAAAAAATTCTTTATGACCCGTACATTAAAAGGGTAAAATTAAAAAATATAAGGGTTCGTTTTTTTGGACCCCCGGGCCTTTTCCTTCTTGATTTTTTTTTTCAGTTTTTTAAGAAAATAAGTTTTTTGATTTTTTTTACATTTAACGATATCTTTTGGTTTTAAGCCAGTTTTTTTTTAGTGCCCACATTAAAAAAAAGAAAAGGGCCATCTTTAATTTGGGGGAAAACAGCCCCAATTTTAAATTTTAATTTAGGGAAAACCATGGTGATAGTTTAAAAGCATGTTAATACATGTGTAGGTATTTTGATGTATTGAGGTAAAACACATTACAACAATGAAACACAACAACAACAACAAAGTTTTTTTTTTAAGAATACTGAATTATATGAAAAAAGGTTGACCTTGTTTGAATAATCCGTTAGACATTATATCAAATGACGTGACTTTTTATTTAATTTTATTCAGATTATATCACTTTATATTATACAGAATAAATTTAGAAAACAAAAACGTGTCGAATGTGAGTGGAAAATCCATTATTAAGAACACTTGTTGAAAGACAAAGTGCAGGGGATTATCGATCTATGTAAAGTACTTTATTACCGACTTATAATGATTTTAACAGATATTTTTTGTCCAGTTATTATTTTTATTTTGGTTTTAAAAAAGATATACAGAACACTTCAGAGGATAGTCGTATACATTTGTGAGGCTTAATGTGGTTGGGTTCAATTTGGATTCAAACATTTTAGGTAAACCTTACGTTGCAGGTTCAGTTTTTTTATTTTTATAATTCATGCTGATTCGTAATAAAACAACGGATGAGCGCGAAGTTCTTGTGGTAAAGCGGTACATTTTCTACACGGCCACTGATTATGAATATACTTCATTGTTTATAGATATTCTTTGAAGCATGCAAGTGATTTACCTCAAATCATTTAGAAACACCTAAAGGACCTTAGTCCAATGGTTGTATTTTGTTATCAGATTTATCATCAGATGTGATGAACGTATTTTAAGTGCAACTAAAATGAATTGAAAAGTTGCTTTTTTTTAAATTTGATTTAATCAATTCCTGTTCATCGTCTGACAAATGACGTTCATAATTTTAATTTGAATCCGGTTATTACAAAATATTTGCAAGTGAGTATCCACAATTATTTGCTTTAAGGTATTTTGTAAATATCATACTGTTTCGCAATGACAAGTACAGGGGACTATTTCACAATTACACATTGTTTCAAAATAAATGACTCAGATGTAAGAATAAAATTACCGACCGTTACACAGCTAGAATGACGCAAGAAATTGCAAGTATATTTCTGTTCCTGGATCCGAAATAGGATTGTTTCTTTCCTATTCTTCTCTAAACATGTGCCATTTTTAAAAGGCCTATTTTTTTCTTATATATAAAATGGTAAAAAAATGGTAAATTGTTACAGAAATTATTCATGGAATTGCATGTTATTATGTATTGTTATAAACACAAAGAAAAACATAATACAGAAGATAAAAAGGTATTGTTGACGTATGAATAAGTTATTTGCCCTTGAAATGACCAAAAAACCAAGTTTAAAGAAATTCAATTGAACAGTTTTAATTCTGCAGATATGTCTATATGAAAACTCCCGAATACAATTTTGCAAAACATGCTTTAAATAGGTGTGGATTAATAACCCGGCGGAGTTTTTTCTTTCGCGCCAGCTCCTGCCAAAATGTTAAGGGTGAACGTTCATCTGAAATCCTCAATCACCAAGAAGCGGAACGTTTGCCATTTGATTGTGACAATGTAACTTAATACTTATTTATCAATAAATAAATTAATTAAAATAAAAACGAACCGTTTTTCTCTAATCAAACTAATATAGAAAATGATTTCATAATTATAAGAAACATATGCCATTTTACTTTTAAGTGATGCCTTTCAAAAGTTGTATTTCTAAGTGCTATGCAGGAGTAAATTATTAGCTTTTTTCCAAATGATCACAAAAGCAAAATATGTTTAACATATTCTATATCATTTCACAAAAATATTTCAGAAAAGGTAATTTCTATTAGTAAACTGTGATTCTAATTCATATTTTTCCTATAATAATAATAATAATAATAATAATAATAATAATAATAATAATAATAATAATAATAATAATAATAATAATAATAATAATAACTTTTTTGAGGTTTATTCTTCTATCAGAATAATAAAACCTATCATTTAGTGTCAAAAACTGAGCTATTTTACGAAATATTCAATGAAAAAATGAAATCGATTCTCATTTTTAATATATTAAACAAATCAAAAATAAAAATGTCTTACATATCAATAGACATGAAGTAATAAACATCATCTTTTCTTCTATTTTGTCGTCTCTCACAACTGATATAAAATGTAGTTTTGTTCATTGCCTTTATTATTATATATATACTCGTACGTATATGTACGGTTACCGAAATCCCCATAAACCTATTTATAGGTGTGCACATCAACCAAGGATGGTTTTGCATCACGTACGCAAAGTACCTATATTACACGTAGAATGGATGCATCTGTTGAAGGTTTCAGAGACAAGGCGGAAGTTTAAGAGACGTTACTTGAACGGGAAAGAAAGTATCGTAGTTTTTAATAAAATATGTTTAGAACTCATCCTAAAACATACCTATGCAAGACTAAAAATTCTCGGAAGGGAAGACCTCTAGGCTCCAAGGGCAATGGATACATAAGTAATAACTGAAGTTCGCAGACTCGGTCTTATGGGCATAATGGAAAGTGCAACAAATGCATGACTACTTTGTTGATTTCAATAAACTTTGATTCAAGTCGGTAGAGATTTTTATTTGATTCGAGATATTGTTCCAGAACAATATTAACATTCATCTTTTTATTTCTTTCAGTGAAAACATGGTTTCAATGGGTTTTTAATATAATATCTTATTCAAAACCTATAAAAAGGTTTGTTCTAGAATTTTTTGTTCTTGTCGGTCGGGCATAAAATACCAATCGTAAACAATTTTACATGTTTTCTTTTGCAAACTGTAACTTAGCTTATTTAAAAAATACAAATGGATGTACAATATTTTACATTTCTTAATAAAATAAAACTATCCGAATGATCCACTATTCATTTATTTCTTCTTCTTTTCTATTTTGCTGAAAGTTTCTTCCTTCATTTCTTTCTATCTTAATTTACGTTATTTCTCTTTAATTTTATATAACAAAATGATGCAGTCTTGTATTCTCATTTCTTTTTTTGTATATATTTTTGCTTTATATTATAACTAAATGTTAGAAACAATTTTGACTTTAACTTCTTAAAAACAATGTAAAATTAGATATATTTCAAGCAAGTCACATATACTGTCATACCGTATTTTATGCATTGTAAATCTATAAGGAGATAGCCTTTATAAGCTCAGCTTTCGGACCCAATCCTTTTTCAACATATCCTGTTTGTATAGTGTACATTATTGTCTGTATATATATTGTGAATTTGTTCGAAATAAACTATGTTTAAACTATAAATAAAAATAATAATAAAAACAACAACAACAACAACAACCACATTTCGTTTAACACAATTTTACAAGATAATATGCTTTTTCAATACACTGCATAGATACCTACATGACTTATCTTTTCAATTTAATTTGAATTATCGTTTTAATAGATTACAACAAGATTCTTTACAAAATATTTCTTAACCATGAATACATAACAATGTTTTGTGGTTAAATCTATTGTTAATCAAATAAAAGGTCAGGGTAGGGATCTATCAATAGAAATAGATAATTGTTTTTAAGAAACGTCTGGTTAGTATTGAAATCGGTTAATTGTTTTTAAATACAGACATTCCCGGGGCTATCATTATTACATTATACTTGTATATTGTTATATTTGTCATTCCATATAAAGTATATGTTCTGTTCTGACAAAAAAAATAGGACAGAAATAATGGTTTTAATCTGAACAGTATAAAATGTATTTCAAAAAAAAAATGTCTGTTGTTATTTAACAATAAACTAGGACAACAATGCAAAAGGTATGAAAAGCCAGTGTAAAGATGACAATTATAATGTCATTTAAATACATACCTTCATAAGATTTAGAGAAATTAACAGTAAAAAAGCTGTATAACTCTGTCATTCGTAAAGACACAATTATTGACAATTTTTAAGAGAAAATATTGATTTCACCCTTTTGACAGAAACATGGTTCTCAAATTAATAAATACCCGGGTGACATATCTTACTGATATAAAAATGTTACAAAATATGTCAAGTGAATATACCTTATACATTTTATTATGGAATAGATATAGCCTATCGAAATGAGATTAATCTATAAACGAAACAGAACAAAATAACAGACGCACTCCGTTGTCCGTTGAACATGGTATTTTACAAGAAATGATTAAGAACATTTCTATCACAATGATAGGGGTACATATACCGCCATCTCTTTCCACCGACACTCAATTTTTTTTGTCAGCCTTTTTAAATGAATGGAATATATTATATCTTATCCATATCCGTTCTGTGTATTCTTACTATTGTGTTCGAAAATATTATCCGAAGTTTGACGGAAAGGGCCGAGAAGATGCGATTGATAGAGATCGTGAATCACCAAGACAGGGGTTTGAAATCATAAAATAGAAGAACAAGGATCAACAAGGCTCAGCCACATCCATTTAACGCATTCCTTATAAAAAACAGGAAAACAATCAACGGCAAAGAGCCAAGAAGAGTACCAAACGAAAACATGTGGCTACAAGGGTATGCCTACGTTGCATGTGATTCGACCTAATTGATCGCAACAGACGTTTCTCAATCATCATATCATCGGATTTTCGATTTTAAGTAATGAATACTTGCAGATTAAATGAAATAAGAAAAGGTCAAATATAAGGAAATATTCATAAGAAGTTCTCTCGAATTGTTGACGTGTGGTAATATAAATAAATGATAATTGTCAAATAAGTTTTGGCATAATTTTGATATATTTACACAAGGGAAATTATTCAACAATAATGTCATAGCGGCCTTATTGATTAAAACTGAGATAACAATATTGCCATTAGGATCACGTGCAACATAAAGAACGGACGGCCAAAAAATTACTACATGTAAATCACGTACTAGTAATTGAAAATGTTCACGTTAATCGAGACATTGTCTTTAACAGGTCAACTGAAAATTTTGGAAATGTTTGATGTTTGTTCTCGTTTGTTCACTATTTATTACTAATTAATCTTATCAGCCGAGCCTACAACATTTTAAATTTTGTCGTTTTGGGCGTTCTTTAGGGATTCTGTTTTTCTCTATATAGTTAATTTCAATTTTTACATTTACAAAAACATCTTTATATAACTAGTATGTGGCAAATATAATAGAAGAGGAAAATCAATCTCAAGAAAAGAAAAAGTAAAGGAAGTAAAAGTCTTCCCGTACATTCAATCAAAAATGTACTTTTTCCAACCCTTGAAACCCTTGTTCAGCAAGATATATTTGTTGTGTTTGAATACTGTATAATCACCCTTTGAACATGTTGTCTGCTATTTAACGTCTTTGACGTCTTGTCTGTGTTATACAGATTTCATTACGTCTGACCTCCTTTCAAAATTTCATTTAATTTACTTCTGCCCATTGTTTTCTCGTCTAGAGCATATACATTATTTTACCTGGTGACAAGTTGCTGCTTACAAACGTTTAACATTGAAAGTTCCATTATTGTTATCGTAGGAAGACATCTGCAGATATTTCTATTTTATGTTTATATTCAAATTATGCTTAAACCGGTGCTAGGGATATAAGGGGTTTTGGTCGTTCATTATATATTCCGTTTTGTCTATTTTTAATGTATTATATAGTAAGCAAATGCTTAAATGTCCAGTGACTCATTTTTAAAGCTTTTGTGTGGACATAGCATAACTAGTGACCTTTTTCGAATATTATAGCTATGAATATGGCGTGCTATTCTTGATGAGCTCCATATATACAATCTGCATACATGCGTTTTAAAATTTAATTTCAATATGGAAAATTGGTAACTTTTAGTTCATGACATCAAATTCAATCACAGATAACATTGAAAGTGACCGGTATACCTACTTCTGCATTTTCTGTTCTTTGTCATTATTGACAAATTTATTTTCTACGAACTGAAATGCTTAATGAATTAAATTCATATGACGCTTAACAGAATAACATCACATTTTTCAGAATTTGTCTGGTCAATATTTGCAAATATTTAAAAGAGATACATGTACTAAAATTGACAACAATGTCTTATCATATTAGCTCCAAACTAAAACTACCCATATGTTTAGAGCATGATAAATAATTATCACCTGAAGAAAATAGGGCTAAATGTTAAGTGATATGTAAAAAATGTAGCAAAGTGGAAACAAAGTAGTATTTTGACTTACAAAATACTAAATCACTATAATTGTTATAATTGCCAAAAAGCAACAGAAGAAGAAAACAGTTCGTGTAAATGAGTAAATTGTTGAAAACTATAAAAGAAAACCAAAAACAAAACAGATTTTGGTAAATAAAAATTTAAGTATTTCTGAGGCATAACGTGCCTTTAATTGAGCCGCGTCATGACAAAAATAGCATAATGGGTTTGCGACCAGCATGGATCAGATCTGTCTGCGCTACCGCGCAGTCTGACATGATCCATGCTATTCGCTATCAGTTTCTCTACTTGTAATAGGGTTTGTAAGCGAACAGCATGGATCCTGATCAGACTGCGCGGATGCGCAGGCTGGTCTGGACCCATGCTGGTCGCAAACCCATTATGTTGAGTTTGGCTTACCTGCATTGTATATTTCATAATGAAATCATTTAAAATTTTGATGGACTGCTACAAATTAAAAATTTGGTAAATGGTTTTTAGGGCATCAGAGGCCGTTTCGTATTTAGAATCAAACTAAGAGGTAACTTAAAATGTGAAAATATGCGTACATTTTATCGCTGTTCGTTATATAGTAAAAACAAACTAAATTCGTATACATTTTAAGTCAATGTCACATATCGATTTCCGCTAGCTACTGCGCGTTACACCAATTTATAGATAGATGGATGTTTAATCATAGTTCAGGATATAGATTTAAACACAATTCCCCAGTCACACCATTTCAAAATACCTGCGGTTAGGTTTTATATTTTTCCTTTTAAAGTATAAACCACGAGTAATTAAAAATTCCCCTTGATTCAATTCAGTGCATTTTCATTTAAATGTGGTGTTTTATCATTTATCTCGTTATCATTCAAAATTTGCATTAATCAAATAGTAATTATAACTTACACAAATAGTTATAGGGGTTTATATGAAATTGTAAGCATGAATAAATATTAAGATTATGTTGTTATTTTATAGTATTCCATTTTTAAAGAATATTTGAACTTAGATCAGATCACCCTTTTTATTTTAGTTCATAAAACATGTTCAAGTTGTATA